ATTCACGTTGCTTCCATGGCGTTTTTTACCTCGAGCGTCGCCATTTTCGGGTACGGCACCTTCCTGCCGACTCTCATTCGCGGCTTTGGCTACAACGCCTTCGAGGCCAACTACCTGACCATTCCCGTGTACGCCCTCGGCGCTATTTCTCTCGCCACGCAGGCCTACTGGTCCGACCGTCTCAAGAAGCGTGCGCTGTTCCTTCTCGTCTCCGCCTGTCCAGTTATTGCCGCTTACCTTATCTGCATCGGCACGCCGAACCGCGTGGCCGGTTACGTGGCCATGTTCATCCTGGTCACGGGCGTCTACTCCTTCTCGTGTCTCATGATGACCTGGGTCGCGACCAACCTCGTGCCGGACTACAAGCGATCCGTCGGTCTGCCCATCTTCGCGAGCATTGGCAACTGCAGCGGTCTCGTCGCCGGGCAGCTGTACCCCAAGTCGCAGTCGCCGCGGTACGTCGTGGGCAACTCGATCTCCGCGGGACTCGAGGCCGTGGCGGCCATCTTTGTCGCCCTGACCTGGCTGCTTCTGAGGCGTCGTAACCAGCAAAAGGATAAGCTGATTGCCGAGGGTGCGACGAGCAACGGAATGGAGGGCGACAGGGGGCTGGACTTCAAGTACGACCTGTGATCGAGCGGTCCTCCTATACGATTCACGATGGAGTTTGGCAGCGAGCGTAGAGTTGTTTGTATTTATGTCGTTAAATGTTTTGCTGTAGCCATGGATTGCCTCTTGCTGTAGCAATAGAATGAATGCCCATTTCCCCTTCACCCCTTCCAACCCATCTGTGAACGCTTCACCATGGTGCTCCGACTACAACGCATCGATATCCAACTCGGGCTCCCGCCTGCGCATCAAGACCTTGGCATTCATGTCCACGGCCAACGAGAAGCCAAACTCAGCCGCCTTGGGTTCGCAGCCCGGGGCCAATATCCACTCATATTTCATCACCAGGTGGCACAGCGCGACCTTGACCTCGTTGGCGGCGAAGAACCGCCCCGGGCACGCGTGCTGTCCGTGGCCGAAGCCCAGCGACGCCGGGCCCGTGCTGACAAAGTGCGCCTGGTTCTCCTGGCCCGGCGTATCGCGCATGCGGACGAAGCGATAGGCGTCAAAGGTGTCGGGGTCGTCGTAGACGTTCGGGTCGCGCATCTGCGCCATGTCGACGGCGGTGCGCTGGCCTTTGCGGAGGACCATGCCGTTCGAGAGGGGCACGTCACGCGTGGCTGTGCGCATCATGGAGACTGGGCAAAAAGGTCGTCATCGTCAGTCATTCTGGCACAACAAAGACTACTCCCGGAGTAGAGGGGTGCCCATACCTAGTCCAACGGGGCGCATGCGCTGCGACTCCTTGACGACGCTGTCGAGGAGCTTGAGGTTGTAGAGCGCCGTCTTCTTCCAGCCCTCTGCCGTGAGGACACTGACAATCTCTTGCCGCAAGTCGGTGACGATTTCCGGGTGCTTGGCAATGTTGAACATGACCTCGGTCAGCAGGTCCGTTGTCGTGTGGATGGCCGCGGTGGAGAGGGACAGCTGGCAGATGGCGGCGTCGTACGCGCTGCCGTGGCTCTCGGCCTCGAACCAGTCGAGGGCGTCGTTGAACACCGGCGGCGGCAGGCCCCGGTCGACGGCCTGCTGGCGGTCGTCTCGCCGCTTCTGGACCACGGGGCCGATGATCGCGCGGGCCTCGACGAGCTGCCGCCGCACCAGCCTGCACTCCGGCAGGAACTGGTTGGCGAGGCGGCGCCACCAGGGCGAGTAGTTGCGGAGCTGCTCTGCGGCGAGGAAGCCGTGGATGGTGTACGATTTTGTAATGGAGAGCCAGTCTTCGTTGCGGGCGACGTCGGGGCCGAGAAAGACGCGCGAAGACAGACGGGCTACGAGGTCGAGAATCTCCGTTTTCAGAACAAACTCTTTCCATTCTGATGCCTGTCAGTCTTGGTTCTCAGCTTACTCGCGCGGGCCGCACGGCATACCTGCTGACTTGCCAAAGGCCAACTCTGTGGCAAAGCTCGTCTCTTCAGAGAGCGGTTCTGTCACCTGGTCTGCCGTCCAGAGTCAGTGATTGTAGAGCTTCAGGCAGGTGACGCAGACAGACTGACTGAGAAGCTTGGTTAGCTGCTTTCTCACCACTACCTGGATGAGCGAGTCGGCCCTGTTGCCCGTCGCAAAGGGTTCGAATCCGGGCAGGTGAGTGTGGAAGGTTTCCGAAATGGCCTCGATGAAGCTCAAGCCAGGCTCGTTTCGAATGTCATTGATGAGCGAGGGTGGGAGAATGGTCGTCTCGCCCGAGTCGGACGTGATCCTGAAAGGCTGGCCTGGGAATCGTTTCCGACCCTCGGCCAATATTCCTCGGGCATTCTTTACGAAGCTTTGGGAAGCAGCGGGGTCTTTGCCGAAGATCAGAGGTCTTTTGGAGGGGTTCAAGCACGGAATGCTTTCTTCTTTGCTCCCAAGTGCCCTGACACAGGAGGCCAAGGCGACAAAGAGTGCAAGGCCGAGATAGAGCAACTGCTGGGCGTCCAGATGAGCCATCGGGGTCGATTCAGCCCATGATCCCAGCAGTGGAGGCTGTGTTGGCGCCGAAGATGAGGACTCCATCGTGTTTGTTGATGGTGTGGAGGTTTGTGGTTGTTGATCGCAGAGCTTCTCTTGAAGCTGGTTCCTTTGGAGGGTGAATGGAGAATTTGAGGCATCACCTCGTGTTTATCACTGAGACACATATAGCAGCTAGTCACGCAAGACCAGGTCACCAAAGGTCTGACCGTTGTGAACCCCTCGCACACCATACGCTCGACGTCATGTCAAACGGGAACCACACGAAGTCGGATGAATGAACGCCCCGTTGCATCTCGGTCGGCCTTCAAGAGGATCCCGTGAGGAGCGATGTTCTGCATATCGGACCAGGCCCATGTGCCAAGTAGACTGGCGCTCGACAGCTGCATGTTCCAACGACAACGTCCCGCCAAAGCGAAGAAACGTTCGACCACTCGATACGAGTCTACATCCAAGCGTCTCCACGTCATGACTCAAATTGCAGTGAGGGAGGGGCTTTGGTCAATTTCCCCGCCGCCTACAGCCCGCGCTGGCCTGCTCATCAACGGTTCGGATCGGCGTCGGGCCAGGCAGATGCCGGAGCCGCGGCGAATGGGAACGCTGCATCTACCCGCACGGAGCGCATGTACCGGCAGATGATCGAGGATCGTTGCCAGTACGGCCCCTGGGGGTGTACGCGGGGTGAAGAAGTGCCCCGACTGCCGCCCAAAACTTCGCACAGCAATGTCCCACTTGGGGTCGTGGTGAGACAATCGTATTCGTACTCGTCATGTGAAGAGTGAGGGGCGAGGAAGGAGTGTAACATGGCCTACTGCAGCTTGCGCGAGAGTTGTTCCGCCACACGACGGCTGCATATCAGTGAGTGTTGTGTCGGGAGGATAGGAGTCACAGAAGCTGGGCTTGCATTTGTCGATGCGGCTAATATTTCCACCAATGCTCAGTGTGCACCAGTGATGGGCACAAGTCGTGTTCCGGGTCTGTTAACGTGATTCTGGTCGTGATTAGGCTAGATGCCGGGCAGGAAGTGATAGGGGTTGTACCCTGAACCTCTTGACAACCGACATCAAAACCCTGGTTTTTGGTCGAGAATATCACATGACGAATCACAACCAGAGCGCTTGAATGTAATAGTTTCATGGATTGATATTGGTACAAAACAAAGGCCCTGCCATGACAGCACCTCTCCAGAACGCCAATGCCGTCATGTTCCATCGCTCATATGGATCTCGCTCGGCCGTCGAAAATGCGCTCATGTCGATTGGTGATATACTGATTCGTGTCGTGCGTGCATTCGTGCATTCCTGCATGTGGCGAGCCGCTCAGAAACGTCGGCGGCCCATGCCGCCACCGCCCATGCGACGACCACCACCCATGCCACCGAGCATGCCGCCGCCGCCCATGCGACCTCCGCCCATGCGTCCATCGCCCATGCCGCCGCCGTGGTGGTGATGGTGGGTCTCCTTGACGACGGGGCGAGCACCCAGGCGTCCGCCGCCCATGCCGCCGCCCATCATGCCGCCGCCGGTCCTGCGTCGAGAAGAGCCTCCGAAGCACATGTTGAGGTAGACTGCGTTGGAAGTAGGTGTTGTTGGTTGTGCGGTAGTCAAGTCGAATATGTGACTTGAAAATGGGCGGTTTCTTGTATGGATTTGGTAGTGATGAGGAGTGGTTGATTGCCACTCAGGTGTTGTCTTCTTTGTTTGGTTGTTGATGCTGATGATCTGAAGCCTGAAGCAACCGGGCGATGGAGGAGAGACAGGAGGGTTTATGTACTACATCACAAACGACATCAAACACGTCGAACCCGTAACAGTGACGCACATACAGAGAGAGTCCGCCTGCAAGCATCCGCGGCTGTGGCCAACAACGCCTCAGAGTGTCTCTCGATGGGCGCCTTTGCGAACAAGGTTGCGCGGCCGTACTTGGCCGATGTCATGGGCGAGGACGCGCGTAGTACGGGGTCTGCCGAGAGGTTCAAGACCCTGAGCCCACGTCACGGCTGGTTGCTGCCCCCTCCATCCTGTGGTGCCTCACACTGCAATTCACTGCAGCGCCGTGTGGCCACTACACAGATCCGGCACCGCGAAGGTTCTGGGACCGGCTGCTTGGCTCCGAAGTGGAGGGTGGCCGTCGTCATGAGGCTGGCCTCACGGTCTTGCGGACCGGATGGGGGGGGGGGGGGGGACCCCTGAAATCCCCCTCCCGGATCGTGGCTTGCCATGCGGCTCCTGGGTTGCAGTAGGGGCATGGTTCGCATGGACCCTGTGGAGTTGACCTTGCGTAGGAAGTCTGTTGGCTGGATTATCATGGAGGAGAGGGAGGAGCGAAAACAGGATTGTGGCTGGTGGCGATTTGATCGCTGACGTAGGTTGTGGCTGGGCCCACGACATAGTGGTCTGTGCAAAACAGTAAGACAGTCTGGCTGAGGTCTAGACCTTCTCTTATCGCAGTGCTCTCTGGAAGTCAATATCTCTCTCAAACATCGACGTCATTGGTCCCTTGGCCCAAGGGCCCTGAAGACCGGCCGTCATCTTGGCTTGAGGCGGTCTCGAGCTAATTTATGCTGGGCAAGCTTACCACCAGGACACGAAGCAATAGCCGCGCCAGGCACGAGAGGCTTAAGACGTTCAAGCGACCCTCTGGTCCCTGTGGAAGCTCTGGAACACGCGCCAATTGTTTCCTCACTTCTGATCCAACCCTCAGCACGCCCCAAGCTTCAAGCCACACAGCTCCTCACGTGATATGCTCGCATCAGCATCCCTCGCACGACCGAGCAGCATGCCCCGAGCCGAGCTGTGTCTCGGACTTACCTCGACTCGGCACTCACCCTCCCCGCATGCTCCACGCAACCCGCATCTCCGGACTCGTGCGCACCCAATCACGACGGCTTCAACTCCATCCCTCACTATCGCAAGCACAGCCCGTGCGGCTGCCTTCTCCCTCGTCGAGGCTTCGGCTGCATCTCCGCGAAAGCCCGAAGCCGTTCGCAGAGCTTTTCTCGCACCCGATGGTAACGAGCAGTGGAGTTCTCGGCCGTCGTCCGCGGTGCACTGAAGCGAATGGCACCAGAGCGATACCTCAACAAAAAAAGAAAAAAAGACAGTAAGCCACGACTGCAATGAAATAACGAACAAATGGAATTTTGGCGGGCCTTCGAGGACCCGTCTGGACCCATGCCGCGGGTTTCGCTCCCTAGATATCATCGTGATGTACAGTTATGCACCGACTGCCACCCTATCCTCCCCGTCTTCCCCCACATCCGAAGCTGCCCGTAGCCCAGGTAGCAGTGAAAGCACAGCGCCGTGTGCTGCCCAGAAACGCCTTGCAATGAATGCCGCCCGTAAAGAAACTCCTCATGGTATCAACGCTGCTGATGTCTCCCCCCCCCCATTGGTCGTGCTCTCTCTGTTTCTCGCTCGTGGTCATGGTCTTTTTATGACCGGTTCTGGGCCTCGTACAGGGCGACTGCCCGTTCAAGGCTCTCAAGGCTGGTGCCGTCGCCGTAGGCATCCATTAATTTCGATGCTCGGAGGCGGCTCTCTGCCTGTTGTCTCTCCATCTCGGCGAGCCGGGCGGACCGGCGTTGGCTCATGCCCATGGCGTAGCTGCTGGCGGCGTAGCCGACGGCGATGACGGCGATCGTCGACGGAATCCTGCAATTTATTAGCCGCTGCTGGTTTCGTTGCGGATGGCATACGCTGGACTCACCATCGAGGCACCATGCTTGTTCGGCGCGTGTTGTGTAGGTAGGGAAGGATGTTGGGGTGGACACGAGCTTCAGTGGAGAACCCCCGAGATGCAGAGCGGCGCATAGTGTTCCTGAAGGCGTTCATGTTCAAGTGGTGGCTGTGACAAGCAGTTGCCGTCGTCGTTATCAATAGTGTTGGACAGTGTTCGTGAGATTCGGCTTGTAGTTACGAAAGTTGCTTTTCGGTGAAGCTTTACGCCTCCATCGAGCCTCGTGCCAGCTGTCCGCGAAGGGGACAGGCAACCTCTTAAGGAAAGGGACATGCCCAACAACGCCCCCTTCCCCCCCTCGAATGATGCGCACACGACGGGCACAGCCGCCGCCGGCAACGTCTCGGTTATGGTCAGGATCACCGTCCCATGGCACTACGGTGCGAGGTTCCACCAATGAGCCGACTCGCTCGGTCTCCTACTGCGTGTGGGGCGTCTGGAGTGTCTGGAGGTGTCTGGAGCTCGTGGGGTGATATTGGCCCCGGTTCGTTCGGTGTCCTTTGGCGCAGCACCACCAGCGCATGCCCCGCACGACCCTGTCCTGCTTTTTTGTGCTGCCTGCGTTGGAGCGTGGTGCCATGGGGGCCACCGGCGTGGCGCCATAAAGAGACGCGGTGCCCCGAGGTGACGTCGAGGTCGGCAGCAGACTTGATTGAAATCGAACGACTGCGCCCTGGCCATGTCCCTCGTGCCCTCACGATGAACCCACAGCGATACAACGACGACGTGGACGTACATGTAGGCCGCGAAGCGGCGAGAGAGGGGGTTCTGCGAGCTAAAAATGGCATGCCGGCGTCTGTTGTCCATATTCGAGAAGGCCAGTTTCACTGATCGCCTGCCAGTGTATTTTGGGCATGTTTCGCTCGAGCGCCCACGTTGCGCGAAACACCCGCAAGCCGTAACCTGTCAGCAGCAGCACTTGCCACGATCCATGTGGAAGCTTGATCGTCTGGTGCCTGCTACCGCGACTTGGAATGCTTCATGACGGAGGATCGTCGAGTGCTGGGCCCCGTTTTGAGCCGTGCCTTTCCCCACTACCTTCTCCACTTGCCGCTGAGACGACTGGCTCGTGATCCAGGTGGACTTGTGATCCAGGTGAACGTTGAGCTGCGATGCATGTACCAAGTCGACAGACCTTGTATGTTTGCTGTCCAGAACATCAGAGCATCTGGCTGAGGGCTGAGATCCCAGGATGTACTGAACATCCCGGCCTGCACTCGACATGGGCTGAATGCCGACATGAGCTCTTGCTGGCTGACCAAAACGAAATCCTACAGGGCCCAACGCAGGATAGGTGCATGCAGGCACCTCGGCGGATCGAAGCCGAGCCTGTGCATGGTCATGGGGGTCCTGCTCGATAGGTGATGGGGCTGAGGTGGTGGGGTGAGGCCCACGATCAATTCGAAAACCACCGCAGTGGCTTTACGCTTCGTCAAGCGGTGGCGCTCAGCCACTTTCTTGTGCTCTGGTGAAGCTGTATCTGGACGTGCTGTTGAGAGCCCTATGCTGCATATAGAACGTAGCCTTGTCTTCCATGAGATTTAGATTCTTTTTTAAATTTTTTTGCTTTTTCCTCTCGACTCTGGATATATCCAACTAGTCGAGAAGCAGCCTCGCACCTACATTCACCGTGGCACGAAGCAGCGGATGATTCATATTGAATCGCACAGTGTACAGACAAAGTTTGGAGCATTCACATTGATGTGCTTCTGACATTGATCACCAGCCAGCAAACCTTGTCAGCTAAACGCGTTGTGGATTATGGTCATACGCAGTGACAAACCCTTCTCTGCTTGCTTGTTTGGGCCATCACGGTCCATTCGGTATCTGCTCCTGCCGTCTTAACCCGCACCATTTTTCGTCTTCCATGCCGTGCCGTTTCTGTTCCTCATGACCACTGGGATTGCCACACTACGGACATAACAATGCAGAATGCCCCTGTAGTATCGCATTTGGACCACAACACTACAGCCATGGACCGTCCTACTTCCAGATTCGATACTCATGCGTCTCTTGAATACGAGAATGAGAACGAGGATAGCCTCTCTATTCTGTCGCTCGACGTCAATGAGAATGAAATAACTCTTATGTTCTCACCCACCATGTTCCCTCTCCAGCAAATTTCCGACCAAGAAAATACAGTTCAACGCGTTTCCAAGATCGATGTCGACGGCGAAAGCAGGATCATATCAAACGCGTGCCGTCAAGAAAACGCACCACAAAATAGGACTGCATTCATCAATAGCGACACCCCCAAAAGGGGACAGATCATCCCAGGCGCCCCATCAAGGGAATCACAGAGGAGGCGGCCGGCCTATACGTACCCGACAGCCGCGGAAGTCGAGGAACGCGTCCGTCGACAACGCGAGATTGCCAGCTGGAAACCACCAAGTCATCTGATGCAGAGGTCTATCAATGAGAATACCTGCAGAGCTATATCGAGCGTCAGTTCAGCCCTCGGCATCGGCATACGTCGGGCTGCCATAGGCTCTGCCGCTGGTGCAAGTGCTTTATATCATCATGCTCGCTGGCGGATTGCACCGACACAACACCATGAGTCTTCTCAGCCGGCCTATACGAAACGCGTGAGGACTTTCGACGGCGGTAAGTCCCTTTTCACTCATTCATCTGTGGGCCTGCACCTCGTTCGCATGTATACTGACGCAGCAGTCCATACAGAAGACGGCTGGGTCGAGGTCTTGGGCACTTAGGAAGATGCTCAGAGTGTAACTCCCTCACATGGTATGGCTGAGGATTCTCTTCTAATGGAGTACCCCGACGACCCTTTGGTTGTGTGGCTTGATGTCATTCACATGCTGACTGTGCGTCTTTTTTACATTTAAATGGCCAGCGTCCTGATGCCAGTCCCGGAAGGGATATCGTACGAGTTGGTGGCCGCTATGGTAGATCAGGGTCCTTACTGAGCAGCAACACTGGGTGGAATGGGGTGCAAAGCTGCGAGACGACGATTGCCTGCCAGATCTTTGAGCCTTTTTGTCGCATGGAATACCTTATTAGCCAATACCTTTAGGTTTGTCATGTGGTATCTCTCCCGGATGCTTGAAAGGCGCGTTAAGGCTCCCGTGACTATATTGAACGTAATTCTCACTCTGTAATGCCGTTTTTTATGTCTTTGTTTGACCTTGCGAGAGTCAGGGCGAGCAATGCAGCTCTAAGCAAACTGCGCTATGAAAATATTCGATGCATACTCCTTCATGGATGGGGACAGAATGAACATCTGCGCAAACTGTGAATGCAGAACCTCACAATCTAGTGACTCTTTGCCGTGTGGCAGAGACCGCGTTCCTTCCTTTGGTCTTGAAACTCAGGGCACTTGCCATTTTCGACTCCTCCTGTATTCGCCAATTCCCCTTAGTCGCGTAAAACCCTTGAATCTCTGCAACAACCTGTTTCCCCTTTATCCAGATATCCTCAGCGTCATACCTGCATGGTCACCATGGCCAAGGTGCAAGAATCCCAGGACGGGATCACGCCTCGTCGACTTTATCTAAGAAGGGCTATGACAGACATTTGCAGCGGCAAAGAAACGGTACGTTGAATGCTTTCCCGTTTCCGCTGGACGACGCACGCCACGACGCACGCCATGAAGGCATCATCACTACCTGGGGTGCCTCATCGCCGCGGCGATACTCAAGCCTCTGCAGATTCCCGTTACTGAAGCGCTGCCTACTTGGTCCACTCTATATCTCCTTCTTTCCTGCTTTCCAATAACTCTCTGCTGTTCTTCTGCGCTATTCTTCAGCCAGGTTCCTTCCTGCACTAGTATCACCCTCAAGAAGCCTCGTTCAACAACTCGTACTCTCCTGACTTTAGCCTCTCGTGGCTCCTTCGTTTCTGCTTGTCTGGGTCTGAAGAATCTGCTGACGAAATGGAGAAGCCCCTGGCTCTCAACCCAGACGAGCGACGCGCCGTCATCGGCCTCGACTACTTCACCTGGCAGGAAAACATCCCCAAGGAGTTCCCTCGCAATGTTAACCTCGACAACTGCCCCGGAGATCCTGTCGAGTGTCTCTTCAACGGCCTCCCTCCGATCTTGATCGACGACTCTGGTGTTTCCTCCGTTGGCCGCGACAGCGATATGTCTGCCATGGAGTACGACCGCAGATTTGCTCATGCCGTTTGGCCGTTTGCCAACTCGGACCTCAGAAACCTCTTGCACACTTCTGATCCCATGATCCTGCCTCTTTGGCAGGTTGCCCGCTCTGCCTTTTCCGTCTATGAGCAGAACAACAACACCATTCGCAACGCCTTCATGCAGGGCCTGGCGCAGCTGCGCGACCAGACTCCGCAGGTTGGCAAAACCAACCAGGACGCCGCTGGCAACGCACCCATCAGCAACAAGGTCAAGTGGATCGCCTACTGTGCCTGGATCGCTGCCGGCCGTGCCGACCACGTCGCCCCGATCCCGGACCGTCGTTTCGCCAAGAACTCCATGGACATTGAACTAACCTCTCACCGCGGCGTTTGTGCCTTTTGCGGTGCCAAGCCCTTTGAAGAGCAGCCCGTCCGCGGGCCTGCCCCGCGGATCGTCAAGTGCAGCGGCTGCTACGTCGACGAGCTGCCCAACATAACCCAGCAGTATTGCGACTGTACCTGCTCCAAGAAGGACTGGAAGGACAACCACTACTACGCGTGCCGTCAGCGCTGTGGCTTTCTCCGGAGCGCCTTCCTCCTCCGCAACATGGCTGACATGTTCATGAAGGCCTCGTACAGCGGCATCTCCTCGGTGCACATTCGAGACTATCCCGATTTTGAGAGCACCGCCCTGAAGCCCGGCGGCCCCCTCGACAGCACTGGCCCGACTCGTATCAGCGCGCCCGACGCTTGTTGCGAGGAGGTCTGGACCGGCGGAAGTGTTTTTCCCCAGAAGTACCTCGACGCAATCGACGAAAGTCCTGCCTGGGCTGCCCGTCTTGCGCAGGACGCGGGCGATGACTACCTCAGACATCTCCACGGCATCATCATTGACACTCTCCACGGTACGCTGTTCGTCCTCTGTGTCCAAGTCGACTCCAGGCTAACACACGCAGCGCACTGCTCCCAGGTCGTCGAGATGTACGTCTACGCCCGCAACGCCGGCACCGTGCTCCACCTTGGAACCGACTACCACAAGGAGAACGGCAACATCCAAGCCGCCAAGGGCAAGAACCCCATGTTCTGGCCTCACCCGGTCCTCTTCTGCAAGCTGAAGCCCACGGGCTACAACGACAAGGGCAAAGAGTGGATCATCGACCTCCACTGCGCCAAGTATGGCTGGAAGGAGTACGTCCTCCCCTTTGACGCCTACTTCCGGACCCGCGTCGCCTCGAGCTTCATCGCCCGAGCCTTCAAGGAGGCGCCCGAGCACTGGTGCCCCTGGGAGGAGAAGGGCCGCCGCCGCGCCCGCTACAACCTCGGCCACTACATCCACAACGCCATTATCAAGTTCATGCACGACACGGCCAAGCTCAAGGTCCCTTTTGAGATGACCCGCGTCAAAGACGTCAGTGAGTGGAAGAAGCTGAGCAAGGCCTTCCTCGACGTCTTTGAAAAGGCTGCCTTGGAGGGCGCCCAGAAGATCCGTCAGTCGGCCACCCATCGTCAGTTTCTCTACTACCAGCACAACAGCTACGGCCCCGAGTACGGCGTCGGCGTCACCAACAACAAGGTCGAGGTCTCGTTTTTCAACCCCATCTGGCTCACTCCCGAGCAGTGGGCCGAAGACTTTTCCGAACTCGAGATGATTCTTTTTGCAGACCAGTCCCCCGGCGCCCTCACCCGCTATGGCGTCTGCCGCTGGATCAAGCGTGTCAAGGCCCGTGCCGAGCATCACGACAAGATGTGCCTCGCCAAGCCTGACGTCAAGCCGTTTGATTACGAGGACCTCATCGGCAACATGACAAAGTACTTTGACATTGGCGAGGGCATGACCCTCGAGCATACCCGTGCCATTGTCGAGACGCACCTCATCAGAGACGGCACCGTGCCCGAGGCCGATTTGAGGAAGATTGTCGATGAAGAGATCAGAAAAGGGGCTCTCCACAACAGCGACGCCGCAGACATGCTTCGAGCCGGCCCTAGCGCCAAGACAACCGGTTCCACCAGAAAGACTCGTTCTGCCAAAATTCAGGCTGCTGGAGACGCCAAGGAGGACAGCCTTGATGGAGAGAGCATCGACAGTGCCGAGGCGGACCGACGGGCCAAGAAGAACAAGAAGAAGAGAGAAAAGAAGAAGGCAAAGAAAGCCGCTGCCAAGGATGAGACAGCGGCCAACGAGTAAAAAATAGTTTGCTTCTGGAGTAGTAACTTGACCTCTTCTTGACCTTGATCACTTGGCTGTGGCAAGGTACGTAGCATAGCAGAAGGATTGAAACGCGGTTGTCATGTATTTACTGCTCACATCGTGCGCCGTCACAAAGAAACGACTTATGATCATAATGTCAATTAGGGACCTAGTGTCCTCGAACGCTACTGTACACTCGCCGCTGATCATCCGTAAAGGAGAAAAGGAGGCACCAACGTGGGCTACACCACCTTATGCCACATCCCCTACCTCGTGCCGAAGCAGAACGAAACCCTGAATCATTCATGTCAAGAAACCATTTCGCAACGCGGGGTGTAATCGAAAGAGCAAACGGAAAGCCAACTTTGATCATTCTTCGTGAATCCATGAAGTAGAGAGGGACACACATCTGGACCGCCAAGTTCGTGTGTCACCACGAAGTGCTGGTCGCACAATGAGTTGAGCTGCTTACAGCTCGGCCTTGGCCTTCTTCTCAGCCTCGAAGGCCTTCTTCTCAGCGGCATCAGCGCCGATGCCGACCTGGTGAGCGAACCAGGCAAAGGTGTCGCGGACAGAGTCTCCAATCTTAGCGAAGATGGTCTCCGAAGGCGATGAGGTGCCGTGCTTGAAGTAGTTGTAGTTCTTGCGGGCGGCGGCACGAAGCTCATCAAGAGTCGAGGTCTGAGGAACGGGGATGCCATAGCTGTCAAGGTAGCTCTTGAGCTCGCTCTCGCTCCAGGTGTCAAAGACGGTGCCCTTGGCAGAGCCGGTAGCTTGGGCGAAGTAGCTTGTGACGGAGGCGTACGTATCGCCGCCGGCAGCAGAAGCAGAGGCGTAGCCAGACTGCGCAGCGCTGACGAGCTCGTCACGGGTTACGTCCTTCTTCTCGGTGAGTTTCTTGGAGGCAGCGTCACCGTTCTTGGCGAGGTACGACTTCAGGTTGTCAAGCGAAAAGTCGTCGTAGGTCCAGGCGCTCCAGCCAGTGGCAGCCTTGTGAGAGTTCTTGCGGACAAGAGCGCGGAGCTCATCAGTCTTGGAGCCCTGGGGAACGGGAATGCCGCGAGCGTCGAGGTAGCCCTTGAGACGGCTCTCGGACCAGAAGTTGACGGCCTCGCCAAAAGCCTCCTGAGCAGCAGCTGAAGCCGAGTCGGTAGCCTGAGCGTACTGGTTGCCGGCGCTTGAAGTGGCGGCACCGTAGGCGCTGGCGGCCTTTCCGGAGATGTTGTCGTTGAGGAAGTCGGCACGGTTCTTGCGGACTAGGGCGCGAAGCTCGTTGACCTTGGAACCTTGGGGGACTGTCACTGTTAGCTACCCGATGATCGTGACCCGATGCGGCAACACGTACCGCTGATGCCGTTCTTGTCGGCAAACTCCTTGAGCTGAGACTCGCTCCAGGCGTCAATAATCTGGTCAGTCAGAGTGGCGTAGGTCTTCTGGGCGCTGGCGGTGGCACTGGCGGCCTGGTCCTGGAGCTTGAGGCCGGCGAGACGGGAGTTGCGGCGGACAGAGGCAATGAGACGGTCGCGCTACGCAAAGAGTCAGCAATGTTCAGTAGAAATTTCTCTCGGAACGGGCTTACGTTGGAGGGCTGGGGAGCGGGGAAACCGTGAGTGTCGAGCCACTCCTTCAGGTCAGACTCTGGAGGACTGGTCAGCATGAACTCAAGGGGGAAGGTGTGCAAAGTACATACCAGACCAGGTCTCGTACAGCCAGTTGCCGGGGTAGGCAGCGGCACCATTGGCCTTCTGGGCGACGGTCTCGTAGCTGGAGCGGACCTTCTGGAGAAGGCTGTCGCGCTTGCGGGGTTGGGGAACTGCGGTACGCACGTCAGAGCGTGTCACACAAAAATTACGTCATTGAGGCAGCCGCCACAAAACTCACCAGGAATGCCGTGCTTGTCGGCAAATTCCTTCAGCTCGCTGTCGGTCCAGGTGTCGAAGATCCAGTCCTTGACGTTGGTCCAGGCGGTTTGGGCCTGGTCGCCCGTCTCGTACCAGGAGGACTGGACCTGGTTGATGAGGGAGTCCTTGGTGGCTTCGGCGCCCTTCTGTGTCTCGACGCCCTTGGCCTTGAGGTAGCTTTGGAGGCTATCAGCGTCCCACGAGTTGTAGGGCTTGACGGCGTAGTTCTCCCAGTTATCCTGGATGAGCTTTTCGAGATCCTTGCGGTCCGCGGGTGTAGGGTACGGGACGTCGTGGTCGGATAGCCAGCGCTCGAGTTCCGTCTCATGCCACTTGTTGTAAGCTTGCGACTGTCAGTATGGCTCATTCGTTGCCTCTTGTCAAACATGTTCACTCACCGGCCTTGGAGAACCACGAGCTGGCGACGACGCCCTGGGTGGCCAGAGCCGCCGTCAAGACGGTGGAGAGAAAACGCATGACTGCGAAATGTGACTTTTCGTTGAACAGGTGCAGCGGTGATACGTTTCGGGGTGCTTGGTCAACAAAAGGCCAGGTAGCTGGAGGGATGGGTGATGTAGGAGAGGGTGGCAGGCAGAAGAGGTTTCGCCAAGTGGGAGGTGCGTTGGTTTTGTTGGTGAAGAATATGTCTCCAGGCTTTGTGAGGGGAGGAAGGGAGAGACACGGAGGAACGCTTGGGCTGATGGAAGGTAGACGAATCAATCACGTCACAGGTTCGTTGCTTTGTTGTGGCGGGCCAGAATGGCGGGCAGGACCATTACACACTTCAGAGGCAGGCGGCAGGCGGCAGGCGGTAGGCGGTAGGCGGCAGGCGAGAGCTCGTGGGGAAAGAGGAACAGTGGGAGGAACTTGCTGTGGCTGATGATGTGACTGGCGAATGCCGTCACCCTTTGGGCCTTTGGGCCTTTGGGAGCATGTCTCACGACTGGGCTGCCTGTCTCCCGTCTACCTACAGAGGCCACGCCGGGTGGTCCAGCCCGCCATCGACCCGGAGCACAATCAGAATTGTCCAGAATCCCCCCAACAACGGGGTGTCCCAGCACACCAGAATTCGTGCCACATGTCGCGATGATCAGCTCGAATCGCGATGACAGGAGCTCTACAGCCACTCAGAGAGCTCCTCAAGAGCTTGCGCTGTGACATGACGTCGAGGCCCCAGTGTGGTTGGGAGCTTATGCTCCGGTGATGTCATCTGGCCTGTTTGCGGTTAGGAAAGGGCCCGTTAGTTGCATGTGATATTCTTCTATTCTACACGATGCTATATCGAGAATAGATACCGCTTTCAACAATTTGACTACCAGAAACCTTGACACCCAGGGGTTTTCGTCCCGCGTCGACACTGCTGCAGCAATGGTGCTGACTATCATGTGTTTGGGTTGCCGTCGACCCATAACCTTGCACTATGCAGCAGGTCTTGCTGGTCACATGGGAAAGCGCACATGTCGGGTAGCTCTGGAGCTCAAGAGGTCAACAGCACCAACAATAGTAATCTTCACGAGCACATTCACTTCTCGGATTCCTCATTCCCAGTCAGATTCACAAGTTTTTCAGGATCCAATTTTCCAATACAAGCTTCATAAATCATTCCAAATCGGGCCACCTTCTGCGATTTCCCTCCTCCAGCTACCATCATTTTCCTGTCAACGCCGGAGGGGTTGTTGCACAGGATACCCTGGTCAAGCTAAAGAAACAAACCATCAGTCACAGATTCAGTCAGGACCAATGGGAGAGTACGTACAAGGGGAAGCAAGCAGCAGCGCGCACGCTGTCCAATGGTCGGCGCAAGTAGCCTGGAACTCGGAGGCGTCGGTGGGGACGGCCGGAGGCTCGCCGCAGTCGAGGTTGGCGACGCCGAGGACATCGGTCGCGCAGCACTGAGCGCTGCCGTACAGGCCGCTGCAGGGAATGTAGACCTGGCGGTCCTCAACGACGGGGGCCGCGAGGGCGAGCGAGGCAAAGAGAGCAGTGGTGACGGTGAAGAACTGCATGTTGATGGTGGATATTGCAAAGGGCAAGGTAGGTTTGGTTGAAGGTTGAAGTGTCAAGTGGTTTGATGTCGAAGACCTGTTTGAGGATGAGCTGATGATGAGAAGGAATTGTATCCAGAACCGGAGGATATGGCCTCCATTTATACACGATCAGAGCTGCCTCCTCATCCTGTTGTCTTGATGACGGAGGAGGCCATGAAGCTCACAAACCTAGCAAGTGAGTAGTCCTGAGCAGATTTTCCAACGCCAGTCGCAACATCTCAACAGGGCCCAGGGTAACATCGCGATAGACCGAACTCTTAAGAGACCCAGTTATACCCTCTTCCCAAGGACATGACGACGTGGTCTGACGATCTCCTCAACCCCTGAAAACACTCAGCAACATGCCAGCCATGCCTAGTCTGCCGAGAAGCATGACACGGCGAAGAGTACCTCTCTGACGAAGCTTGCGATGGTTCGGGTTACATGGTACGGGCACTTGGCGGCCTCTTTGCCACTTGTGGCTTTTCTAAAGCCAAATAATATTGCGTCCTTGGCCCGCAACTTGCCACGACCCTAGGAATACCGGTCAAACGGAGTTGGTGACGAGCACAATGGTGAAAGAAAGGGGGCTGCAGGAAGACAAAGCATACTAGCCAAGCAGAGATTTCATTGGCCAATCCATTAAACTCGAGATGGCAACATTGAGCCGCTCAGCATTACGTCTGCCCCCATCAACGACGGGGATCGGCATCTCGACAAGGCGTCTTGGGGCGCCTTAGCACGCGGTATCCCCGATAGGAGAGAGGGGCAAGGGGGCGCCGTTCCTGGTTGAAGGAAAACGGTAGGATGAAAGCACAAGCGTCTCGTTCCCCTGAACCCGGGGAAGCCAACCAGTGCAGCCATCCCTGCCGCAGGGTCGCATTGGCCAGAACCATCGAGCTGCTGATGATCGTTCCTGGATATGGAGTGGCAGACGGACGACTTGAGCTGAAAGTTCTCCGGCAGTGTTTCTTGGTGGTGGCCTCGATGATGCTTGAGGAAAGTCGCACAGCATAAAACAGGTAAAATTGGGTGACGGAGGTGGATATACTTGATACAACGCTGTGCTGTCACCGTTATCATTAGCCACACCGCCGTCCAGAGGTGGCGGACTGTACATCGAAAGGACCACTTTCACGGTGAAGATCGGCATCCAAATCGAGGAACCGCATCCTCGAAGGGCCCGGCGTTGAGTGATATCGTGGGAAACATGTGGCAGTGAGACAGACAAATCCGAGCAGCCGTCACGTCAGAAACAGCTTGTTGCGGAGTGACGGGTGTCTATTCACTCTGATGGCTGCCCAGCAGCTGCTTTAGGGCATTCCTTCGATTGTACGCCAAGAGGGACAATTGCTTCCGATTGTTTGCAATCCCTGAGGGTTGACAAGAGTCAATGATAGAACGAATATTCCGTGTCCCTGCGTCTGCACTCTCATAGAGCCGCACATTCAGGTACCCCTGGCTGCCTCCAAAAAACCGTCATGACTGCAACATACCCCAAGCCAGAGGTTGACAGTTCGAAAGAGAACCTGCTTTGGGTTTATGCCCCCCCCTGCATCATATTTGCCGGGTAGCCACACCCAAACCGCCTTGGCACTCATGTGCCATGAGATCGTCGGCCTCTTCACCGTCGTCAGTGGACGCAGTGTGATTGTGGCGCTTCTCTCCTGTCGATGGGCTGTGGCTGAGGAGGACGAGCATGGGGAAAATCATCCACCATTGGTGAATTTTCACTTTTTCACGTTTTCTGTGAGAAAGATTTGCGCTTCATTTCAGCTTCGCTTGTCGGGAATTTTCCTAACAATAGAATCAAGCGAGTCGAGTCAATGAAATAGAGTATTCACCCGGTTTGCCGTCGTGCGATAGAGGGCCGGTTTGGCATGATTATCCGCAGCCAGCTCCACGCGACATCCACTGCACTGTATTCCGTCACGATCGAGCCGTACCGCTACGGAGACACGACCCAGGCGGCACGGCAGTACGTCCCGGACGGGCGATACTAACGTCATGGCCTCGGCCATGCCATGCCTACGAAGCGCCACCTGACAACACATGGTGAGCCCCATGTGTCCGTTCTGCCCAAAGAAAATACTCGCCACGCACACACCAGCGATGTAACATCACATTCAGGCCGAGAGCTTGGAGCGACCACGAGCGGTGCGGTGTCGGTGCGCCACATTCCCCGACAGCAGTAACGATCGTCTACGAAAGGGTTGGGCTAGACTTTCTGGCTGTCGAGTGAAGATGCGAAGCCAGGGGAGGGTCACGATGCGGGACGTTTTGGTAGGCGCCCAGCCGTTCAATGAGCAGGCCCATCGCCCGTGGTCAGGCCTACGCAACAAGGTTGCATCCCAGGCCGTGCTCACACTCCTTGGTTCTGGGAAGAAAGCAAAAACGGCCGTCGAAAGCAGACCTTCTGCCGCGGATACCGTGCCAAAAAAGCCCATCGTGTGCCTGCTGGGCGGAGCTCTTTCCCCAAAACGGGCCATGTGGGATAGGGGATGCACTGGTAATTTCAACAAAGGCTTCTGGAGCAACCATGCTCGTCCATTCTTCCCCCGCCCGCCAGAACGAGCAGCCGGGTCTTGCCCGTGGATAATCGTACAAAAGGTCTATGGGCAGCAGGGAACCTCTATGATCCATCCTTCTTCCCGGGCCCAAAAAACGG